GAGTCCCTTCTTCGTACACCTTCCAGGAAGAGATCAGAACTCCCCTGCGGGGCCCAGACCCCTGGGAGCAGCCCCTTCTCGGGCCCCTGTGCTGCTGCTGGCCACGCCCTGTCCTGCTCCAGCCGTGGCGAGCCTGGCAGGGCGTCCTGGGGCTGGCGTGTGCTGTGGCCAACTCTGTTTGCTCTTGTGCCTACTCGCAGCAGACAGGGAGCTTGGGCAAAGGCCGATGGGTCAGCGTGTGTGTGGCTGACCGCTCACTCAAAGGGTGCAAGCAGCCTTCCTGGTACTGGCTACCAAAAGTTGTCATAGGCTGTTCCCCTGCCCCCGCCCCCAGAGTTGCTTTGTATTTTTTATTTTTATTTTATTTTATTTTATTTTATTATTTATGATAGTCACACACAGAGAGAGAGAGAGAGAGAGAGAGAGAGGCAGAGACACAGGCAGAGGGAGAAGCAGGCTCCATGCACCGGGAGCCCGATGTAGGACTCGATCCCGGGTCTCCAGGATCGCGCCCCGGGCCAAAGGCAGGCACCAAACCACTGCGCCACCCAGGGATCCCCGCTTTGTATTTTTAAGTCAGATAACTAGAAACATTTGTTTACCAGCTAAACTTTTTTAGGCATACAATTCACACTCAGAGCTGTTCAGCCATTGCTACGGTCAGTTTTAGAACCTTGCATCACCCTCAGAAGAAACCCTGTACTCGTGGTCACCCATGCTCCCGTCCCTCTAGCCCCTGGCTGCCACTCCCCTGCTTTCCATCTCTGCAGATTTGCCTGTTCTGGACACTTCATAGAGGTGGAGTCCTGCATCAGGTGGCCTTTTGTGACCAGCCTGTCACCCACATAGTGATTCCACCAGAATTCCACTTCACTACATGGGTAGGCCGCATTGTGCTCGCTCACGTGCGCATTGTGGACAGCAGGGCTCTTGCCACCTTTTGGCTGTTGTGAACATCCGTGCACAAGTTTCTGGGTGGCCGTATGTTCACGTTCCTCTTGGGGATACGCCTGGGAGTGGAGCCACGGGGCGCCCCACCTGACCTCCCATCGCTAGGCTGTTTTTGAAGACATAGCGTCCCCTCTTGCTTCACTGAGTGGAGGCTAAAGCGGAGTGTCTTGGGCTGAGGGTGCCGATGCCTCCTGCTCAGAGCCCTGCACGTGCCCCCGCCATCCCTCATATGTCCCTATGTTTGCAGCTTCCACGATGACGCCCCCAAGGACTACAGGCAAGTGTCTCTGACTGCCGTGAAGCAGCGATTTGAGGACAAGCGGTACGAGGAGATCAGCCAGGAAGAGGTGCCCGCGCCCCTGCCCGCTCCCAGAGGCTCGCCCCTCCAGGCCCCGTCCCTCCCGCTGACCCTGGTCTCCTTCCAGGTGCTGAGCTATGGCCAGCTGTGCACAGCTCTGGGGGTGAAGCAGGGCAGCCCAGAGCCCGCGTCTTTCCTCAACACGGGGGACATTCACACCTTCCTCAGCTCTCCGTCGGGAAGGAGAACCAAGCGGTGAGTGAGCCCTGTGTCCCTGTGTCTGTTGACCCCTGCGTGCTGGGCCTGGGTTCCCTGGTGACCCCTGCAGCTGTCTGAGGGGTTCCTAAGACATAGTAGGGAGAAGCAGCCGGTCCCACAAAAAATGAAGTGGAATTGAATCCAGGCCTTGGTTCTAGGGCCCGATCTCCACTGTCGACTGCCCTGTCCTCCCCAGCGCAGCTGTCTGTCTCACTTTAACCTATGCCTGATGAGGGAGGGTGGCCTTGAGCACAGACTGAGCCCAGCACAGGCTCTGGTCCTGTGGCACCTCGGTCACTTGCTGGCCACACTCCACAGTGTCAGTCACTCCCAGCCCTGCCCCTGCTGCCTGATTCTTGCTCTCCATGCTTCCCTGGATGCCCTCGTCTCCTCTCTCGTCTCCTGAGCATATCCCACACCTGCCCCCCCCTCAGCACCCTGGCTTTACCACCTAGAGTAACTTGCCCTCCCCATCTTACCCACCCGAGGAACTCTCGCTGCCCTTGCCAAGTCCAGGTGGGCAGCCTCTCCCGTGCTGCTGGCCCCCCGTCCAGGACCCATGCCGGGAGCTTCCTGAGGGCAGGCCACTGGGCAGCTGGGTCTGCCCTGCGCACAGCACCCCCGGCAGGCTGGGCAGGTGCAGAGGACCAGGCTGGGCCTCCCACCCCGCTGCCCATGACCAGACTCCTGGCTCTCCCACCTTGCAGGAAGCGGGAGAACAGCCTCCAGGAGGACAGGGGCAGCTTTGTCACCACGCCCACCGCTGAGCTGTCCAGCCAGGAGGAGATGCTATTGGGCAGCTTTCTGGACTGGAGCTTGGACTACTGCTCTGGCTACGAGGGCGACCAGGAAAGCGAGGGCGAGAAGGATGGTGATGGTGAGTACCACGGCCTGGAGGCCGTCCACATGCCACCCTCGAAGGTCAGGGGCCCCACACATAAGCAGGCGTGAGAAGACCAGAGCCCCTAGAACACCAGAGTGGGGACGGGGACCAGGGTGGGAGTGCCCTCAGCCCACAGGGGCGGGACAGATAAGACCCATGTCCAGCCCCAGCCAGGCCTATGGAAGGGCCTTACCAGGGCAGGGAAGTGGAAGAGGCTTGGTCTGGAATGCACGAGAACTTTCTAGAACATTCTGTGAGATGTGCCACTCACTGCCTTTTTGGGCTGTGTGCATCGTGCACCCCCTCCCCCCAGGGTTGCCCATAGGAGGCTCTGTCCCTGTGTTCTTGGGTGGCTGACCACACAGGAGGCCCAGTTCAAGCAGTTTCTGTCAACCTTGAGATTGCTTGCTTCTGTGTCTATTTGGGGAGTAAGTAGATTATAGATGACTAGGTTGTCTTTCTGTGCTCCAAGTCACGTTCAGTGCCACTCTCTTATTTCTTACCCAAAGGAGAGCAGTACAGGGGACTGTCCAGCGAGGTCCAGGACATGTGGCCGAGAGCCACGCCTGTCCTGGCCAAGAGCTGGACCCTGGGCCACTGGGGGCCCTGACTGGGCAGGGGGGCATCCCAGTGCTCACAGTGGCTGGATCCCTCACCCCATTTCTCCCACAGTGACAGCCCCCAGCGGCATCCTCGATGTCACCGTGGTCTATCTGAGCCCAGAACAGCACTGCTGCCAGGAATCAAGTGACGAGGAGGCCTGTCCAGAGGACAGGGGACACCAGGACCCACGCACCTGGGTACCAGGCCCCCAGATGCCTCCCACCCCAGAGCCCGAGCCTCAGCTCTGCGGCACGAGGGAGCCAGGCAGGGACAGCGTGACCTCAGGGTACTCCTCCATCAGCAGCGTGAGTCCCACAAACTCAGTGGACGGCGTCTCGGGGGGCCCTCCCCAATCTACCTCAGTGCCATCCCCAGGAAACGACTTGAACACACAGCTTTGCCACCATCATGCCAAGAAGTCATGTTTACAGTGTCGCTCTCCAGGCCCTCCGGAGAGCAGCGTTCCCCAAGTGAAGAGGAAAAGCCTCTGCACCCACAGCAAGGAAGAGGAAGAGGGGGACGTGAGCCAGGCTTGCTGAGGCCAAGTGTGCCCACACTCGCCGTGGGATCACCTATGGAGGGAGGCTGCCGCTGCACTAGTGAGCCGTGGGGGCACTGGGAATGGACGCCACCTGCACCCCCAGTGGCTCTCACACAGGGAGCGCACAGAACACGGGACGCTAAGTTTCTTTCTCCAGGGTAGTCCCGTGTGAGCCGTCAGAATGTCTAAATCAGAACAAGAACTCAGATTCTTCCCTTTGGAAAACAGCCTTGAAGCAATCATGCCACACCCTGTGAAGCCCGTCTCGGTGTCCTGCTCTCTCTGGGGAGCTTGAGCCCACATCCTGATCTCCCAGCCCCAGGGAACCCTGTCCCAGGAGCCAACGGCTTCCTCAGTGGGGCACACATGTGACCAGGTGGCCTGGCACAGCTCCCCTCCCAGCATCTATCTGGTCTAGGTTCTGGGGGTGCTGACAGCTCTGTGCACAGCAGACCACCTCGGCTCCCTTCCTGAGGGAGCCCGGCCCCTGCACCCTGTTGTGGATAACATGAGACCCCCAGTGGGGAGGGCCTGACGTCTTGGCCCTGAGCTCCCTGCCCACCACACTCAGCTCCTTCTAGAAATTTGCCCCCTCCTCCAGAGCCCATTCTCTGCCCCCAGCGGGTGGTGTCTGTATGAACACCTCTCTTTGCACTGAATTTCTAGGCCATTTCTTTTCCTGTGTTTATTTCCATCCTTCATTCTTCTGAGATGGAAACAAAAGAAAAATTAAAGATAGAAGGCATTAAATTTTTAAATAGCGACTCAACTTTATTTAGGCTCAACTTAATGTGTGATTCAGAGCTCTCCGTGCTATCCTGACACTTCCCAGAGAGGCCCCATAGGAGAAAATTAAATGTCCTCAGTAACAGCTGAGGTGACCACAGTGCAGAAGAGGGAGATTCAAAGGGCCTGTCCCCACCTGTTGGGGGAGGTGGACCTACTGTAGGTTCCTGAAGCTCCCCCACGCCTCCCACCTCCTGGGTGCGGCAGCCAAAACAGCGGAGGGATCTGCTCAAGATGGACCCTAACCACTGAGACGTGTGCCTGGCAGCGATAGCTTGTGTTTCTTCTCAACACATCAGGAACAACCACTGCACCAGGCCAGGAATGGACCAAAGGGATAATGACTCAGTGACGGCTCTTCTGTATGCTTGTGCGTACACGTGCGTGGGTGCTCTGTGGGAGCTGTCCTGCTACTGTAAGAGCATTCTGACCCCTTCTGCTTGGGGCATGGTTGGGACAAACCTCTCCTGTCCCTGTGGGCCCCTGGGCATGTGTGAGCCTCACTAGCCTCACCTGTAAGCTGAGGCCATAGTACCTACCTCACAGGGGTGTTGTGGGGATTAAATGTGATGAGGGCAGTGGCAGCTGCGTGACATGCATGTCTGAACTGCCCGCCTCCTTGTCTGTGGCCCCTGGTCAAAAGCCCAACTCCGGATGGAGTTTAAACCACCCTCCCCCGGCCTGCATCCAAGACCACTCCAGTAGGGACCTAATGCCACCTACCTGTGCTGTCAAAGCCTCTTCCTGTCCCCTCCTCCCTCCAGAGAATCTAGTTTTAGACAGGAATGCTGTCAGCCTACCCTGACAGGGCACGGGCAGGAGCCTAAGCCCCAGGCCCCCACCCTGAACAGTCCCAGGCAGCTTGGGCCCCCAGCTCCCCTTCTGCTATGAAACGGACACCTCTCCATCTTTATTATTTTTTGGATTTTATTTATTTATTCATGAGACAGGCAGGCTCGCTCCCTGCAGGAAGCCTGATGCAGGACTCAATCCCAGGACCCAGGGATCACACCCTGAGCCAAAGGCAGACACTCAACCACTGAGCCACCCAGGTGTCCCAACACCTCGCCATCTTTAAACCACCTCCCCCATCCCCAGTGTGTCACCCCTGTGGCTCCCCCTGAGACTTCTCAGCCCCTGCAGGGTTTATGGTCCTACTTATTAACTAGTTAAGTGAGGCCCTGCTGCCTTCAGCACTCCTCCCCACCCACCTCCCGCCCCAGCATCTGTCCCCACACCACCCCCACCCCCAGCTGTCCCAAGTAACACTCCCATCCCCATCTTGTGACCCTCCTGGGACAGCATCCCATTGCTGCTGTGACACCTGGCTCTGTGATCCCTCCACCTCCCTGGGCTCCAGCTCCCCTTCCGACACCCGTCCAGTCCCTGTCTATACACACCTGCCCCAGCTTGGACCATCTTGCCTGACCCATTGTTCTCAGGTCACAGTCCCCGGTCTCCATATTCTGAGACTTTCACGTGCCTCTGCTCAGGTGCCTACCTGATGCCACCCCTGAATACCATCACCTTGCCAGTATGTGCGAAAACGAACGCACCGGGCAGCCTGGGTGGCTCGGGATGTAGCGCCGCCTTCAGCCCGGGGCGTGATCCTGGGAACCCGGAATCGAGTCCCACGTCGGGCTCCCTGCGTGGAGCCTGCTTCTCCCTCTGCCTGTGTCTCTGTCGCTCTCTGTGTCTCTCATGAATAAAATCTTTAACATTAAAAAAAAAAAAAAGAGCACGCCCTCCTTCCTTGCTCCGCCCCCAGCACGCACATCATCCTAACCTCTAGCGACCGTGACTTCGGAGGTACCTTGCCCGGTGGTAGGCCGGGGGTCCGCAGGGCAGCTCGGCCCGTTTCAGGGCGCCTTCAAGGACAAGGTCAGCCGCAAGCCATCCCAGGTGCCACCATCCTCCCAGGCTTCCAAACCAGAAGCCCGTGCACCTCCGCAGGACCCTCCGCGCCCCGAGTGCAGCGGGGGCAGGGCCCCGGAGGCCGGATCGCCGGGGGGGCGGGCCCTGGGTCCTCGGCTCCGGATTGGTCAGCGCCGCCGGAAGGGGGCGGTCCCCTAGCCCGGAAAGGACCGGACTTCCCGGAGGCGGCAAATCCGGAGGAGCCGCGGCCGCCTTGATGCTGCCCGCGGGCTGCTCGCGCCGGTGAGAGCCGCGCGCTGGGCGGGCCGGGCGGGCGGTGGGGCGGGCGGGAGCGCGGCGCGGGGCGGCCGGGGAGCTGAGCCGCCGGTGCGCCCCTCCCAGGCTGGTGGCCGAGCTGCGGGATGCCCTGGACGCCTGCGCTGAGCGACAGCGGCGGCTGGAGCGGAGCCTGCGCGCGTGCCGCCGGCTGCTGCGGCCCTGGTACGCGGACCCCGAGACCACCCGGGCTGGGAGGCTGGGCCGGCGCCCTCTGGCTGCGCTCCTCTTCCCCTGCAGGCTCCGAGCAGGGGCTGCTGGCGTCCCGGGCGGCTCCTTCGGGTTGGCAGCGTCGCTCCTGGCCGTGCCACGGCTGTCCTGTCTTTGCAGGGAAGCGGCCGAGCTTCCGGCTGCGAAGCCAACCCCGGCGCCGGAAACTCAGGAAGAGGCCCCGTCTCCGGGTAAGCCTCCACCACCCCGTCTTGGTGCTGCCCTTGCTATTTTCTGACAGCACTTTCTTGCAGTGACCGTCCCAAGAGTTTTTTGGCTTTTGCAGCATGCACGCCTAGCCCTCAAGACCTCAAGGAATTGGAGCTTCTGACCCAGACACTGGAGAAGGCTGTACGGGTGAGGAAAAGCGTGTCTAAGGCTGCAGAAAGACACAAGGCCCTCAGCCTGAAGTCTGGGCCCACTGCCCCTTCTCCTGCCACCGCAGCCTCTGCCCCATCCCGGGTCTCAGGCCAGCCTGGCAGGCGAGCCTCAGAGACAAAACCACTCAGGGGCATCCATCAGACCAGGGTACCTGCCAAGGGCCTCCCCGAGTGCAGGCTCCCGTCAGCGGGGGATCACACCTGCAAGGGGAGGGGAGCCCGAGCCACCAAGCCTGGACCAGGCCTCGGGGACCAACTTCCACTGGCTGCTCCTCCGGCCCCGGAAGCTTTCACATTGAAGGAGAAGGGGTAGGTTTCCCAGACCCTTCCTGAGGGTCCACCTCATCTGACCCTGGCCAGCAGCGGGAATCTGGGATGTGGGGTGACAGGGAGGGCAGGGCATTGAGCCTGGATGTGGGCCAGGGGAGCCCCCAGGGTGCCATCCCAGGAGATCCGTGCCCCGAAGCTGGCCGAGTGGAACCTTGCTAGGGCCTGTCGCCTTCTCACTGGCTGTCCTGCCCCCATCCTCTCATCCATCCGGCCCAGGCGCTCCATGTGGGCTCTGCAGGGCCTGGGCTCTGTTCCTGGTGTCCTCTTCTCTCTGCCAGGCCAGAGCTGGACTCTGCTGGCTCCCACCACCACTCTGGAAGCCCTGTCACATGGAGGGGGGGAGCCCCCAGAGTGAGGCTACTCTGAGCACTGGCTTCGCTTGACAGGGTCCTGCTGAAGTTACCTGCGGCCTACAGGAAAGCAGCCTCCCAGAACTCCCGGTAAGGCTGAGTCTTAGCTGGGTGGGGTGGACGGGACATGTGGCCAGCAGGGAGGCTGAGGTTTCCCGCCATCGCAGGGCCACATCGGTAAGACTTTTCCAGCGGGCTGCCCTGCTTCGTTGGCTGGGTGGGGACACTTTCCGCGTGAAGGGAGTCTGCCGTGGTCCCCGTAGACTCAGTGGACTTTGAGGCTGAGACCTTGCATCCTCGTCTGTCTTGTCTGTGGCAGTGAGGGTGACGGTATCAGCTTCATAGAGGTGCCTTTTTTGATGCTGCGCCTGCTATGGAGCCGGCACTGTCAAGAGTTCTTGGCCATCGTCCCGGGCCGTCCGTTACCAGTCGCTGCTGGCTCCTCTGCTCTCCTCTCTCGAATTCTCCCCTAGTACTTCCCCAGAGTGTGTCAGCTCTCCCCTTGTCACAGACACTGTCCTCTCAGCTCCCTAAAGCCTTGGGAGGCCCCTCCTGGCATTCAGCAGAGCCAGACGCCCCTGATGGGCCCCTGCCTTGGCCTTTCCCTGCCTCCCGAGGCCCTGCTGGGTGGAGTAACCACGTCCCTCTCTGGTCCCTGGGTGCCTGTGTGCGCATTCCAGCCTGTGGACCCAGCTCAGCTCTACACAGACCAGTGACTCCGTGGATGCTGCTACCAATGCCAAAACCCAGTTCCTCCAGAAAATGAAGATGGCTGTATTCTTGCTGGGCTTTTAGGACCCCCCCAGGGTGTGTGTGTGTGGGGGGGGGTTCTGGCTCTAAGTCTGATGAGTTTAAGAAGCAACTCCAGGAAGAGCCACAGCCACTCTGGGGTCCTGTCCTTGGCGGGAGGGGGAATGAGGGAGCCTGGCAACAGAGGACTTTCCCTGACCCGTGTCCAGTCAGGCTGGCCTGGCTCTGGGCTCAGTGCTGCAGAGGTGGAGGCGGAGGCGGGGCTCCTATGGAAGGCCTGCTCGCTGCTGAGACAGCGAATGGAGGAAGAGCTCTCCGCAGGTCAGTGGGCCCTGGTGTGTGTTTGGGGGGGGGGGGGGCTTCAGGACTGGCATGGACCTGGCTTGCCCTCCCTGACTTTTGCGTAGACTGTGCTGACTGGGTTCAGGAGTACCACTGCCTGCTTACCCTAGAGGGGCTGCAGGCCATCACGGGGCAGTGTCTTCACAGACTGCAGGAGCTGCGTGCTGGTGAGGCTCGGCCCCATCCCCGCCCCAGGCTGAAATCTGGTCAGGGGTCAAGGTCCTCTAGCCAAAGGGCAGCATCAACGGCAGGGCCCCTCAGGGCAGGTCCTTCCCCTTGTCACCCCAGGCATTGTCCCACAGGACCAGCCAGAACTGCACCCCCACCCCGCTGCCCCTCCTGCCGCAGCCCTGGCGCTGTAAATAGTCCGCCTGTTTATCTAATTCCTGAGAAGGTGCTGTGTGAGAGTCATAGGTGCTGGCAGGTGACCTGCCTTGCAAGAGGTGGTTATTTATGGAGGGCTTCACCCAGGAGGCGAAGGGAGACCTTGCACCCCCTAAAAGCAAGTGGGAAGGAGGAGGTCCCTGGCTGCCACTCCATGAGGCCACAAACTCCTGTCCTCACAGAAATGGTGGGACAGCAGTTGGAGCCATGGCCTGAGGGGAGATGCCCCAGAGCCTCAGAGTCCTGTGAAGGAAGACCAGACCCTACCTGGAGCTCACAGCTGCTTCTGTACTCCAGCACCGCGGAGCTGCAGACCCTGGCCGCCCTCAGGCTGCGAGTGGCCATGCTGGAGCAGCAGATCCACCTGGAAAAGGTACTTCCAGAGTAGGGGGATGAGGACTAGGGGACTGGGTGCCAAGGGACCCTTGGGCTTTGGGCTGAGGTGGAAGACAGAGCCTCTGGGCTGTGCACAGCTGACACAGCACTGGCCCCAGGGCTGGAACATGGCACCTGAAGCCCTCCCTGGGCACTGCAGGGGCCTTCTGTAAGCCTCCAGCTAGCTGCCCAGCACAGGGCCCCCCTGAGATCTTGGTCACACGTTACCCTGTAGGTCCTGATGGCCGAACTCCTCCCACTGGTGAGCACACCAGAGGCACAGGGGCCGCCCCCACTGGCACTCTGCCGAGCCGTGCATAGCCTGCTCTGTGAGGGAGGTGAGCGCTTCCTCACCATCCTTCGAGACGAACCTGCCAGCTGAGCCCTTCCCATGGCCAGCGACCACCCACCTTGCCTATTCCCAGGCACAGGACCCTGGCATGAGGGTGCACTTGTCCTGACCCTCAGACCACTGGGAGACCACCACCACCCCTTCTCCGTTAGGTGAACGGGGATTGAGAAGGTCTGGTCAGCCTGGGGGCCCAGGGATGGCTGTAGCCACCCCGGAAACCAGGGCTGCCAGGTGGGCTGCGGACAGCCTCGTGGCTCTTGCTGAGGATCCCAGGGCCCTTCTCGCAGCAGCTAAAGCTGACAGGCCTCTGCATGGCATGCACATCAGAGGCCTGCGGGCTTTTTTCTCAGCTACCTCTGTTTTTCCTTGTTTTAGACTTAAAAGCCACTTGTGTGACATTAAAACTACTTCAGGAAGTATATTCAAAATGGGATTTGGTGTGTTTGTTACTTGTGTTTTTGCTTGCTAACAACACATCAAGCGTACTTAGAATACATGTATGCCTTCTGTACTCAAGGGAGAGCAAAAGGCACTGAAGGTGTGCAGCGCTGGGGACACCCCTCAAGCCCTGGCCCTGGCGCACCTGAAACCTCTCCCCCCATCGCCTAGACTGGGCCCACTGGGAGACACAAACGCCATGAGCCCCTATCAGAGTGGACGGACACTGTGTGTCACCACAACTGTCCTGGCACCGTGCTCACCACTTTCTCCTGGGTTGTTGCTGCGGCCAGTGTGGGCCCCCCAACATTGAGTCACCACCCCCTCACCTTCTCCACGATCCCCTCCTCCCCAGCTCCTTCCGCCCCCCCTGAAGAAATCCTGGCTTTGTGGAAAGCAAGAGAATTTAGAGGTCAGGGTCACAGCCTCTGGGTTCATACCAGTCACGGGCTTGGGTTTCCAATGTGACTTATTTGCCAATGTGGGACTTTCAACGAGATTCTTAAGGGCCCTGAGCCTTAGTTCCCAGTGTTGTCTCCACTGTCATCCTGAGGGTAGTTGTTGGGAGAAATTATTGAAGAGATGTAACCATCAGCCAGCCTAAGAGCTGGATCTGGGCAATGGGAGGCTCCTCACCCCCCCCATCCTTGGAATGGGGGTTCCACTTGCCTTTTCACACCCAGAGGCTGCTCCGAGGAGGACACAGCCTTGACATAGCCATGTGCTGAGAACACCTGCAGGGGGCACGTGACAGCCCAGGGAGGGCCTCTCTGGACACCACCCCTTAGGCTCCAGGTGGGGGCTCCCTTCCCTTATTCCCCCTGCCCCCCCCCACGCGGCCTGCCCTCCCCATGAGGGGCCTGTTCCAGAGGACACTCAGGAAGCTCCTGAGTAGCCATCACACCAGCTGTAATGGCTATTACCCCTGGGACTGGGGTGAGGACAAAATACACAGGAGTAGGGGCTCCTGGGTGGCTCAGCGGTTGAGTGTATGCCTTTGGCTCAGGGTGTGATCCCGGGTTCCGGGATCGATTCCCACATCGGGCTCCTTGCATGGAGCCTGCTTCTCCCTCTGCCTCTGTCTCTGTGTCTCTCATGAATAAATAAATAAAATCTTTAAAAAAAATACACAGGAGTAGGCCCCAGGGAGGGCCAGGAGTCTGTCGTGTTCTTTAAATAAACTTAGTTAGCGCTTTTGCCACCAAGCACAGTCCTCAGAGCTGGAGCATTGGCCCTTTGTGTAGACACTGATGAGCAACAGGGAATTAACTCCAGCTTCTGCCCTGGGCAGCAGGGGTGGGGGTAACCCAGGAACCAGGTAACTCCTGGAGAAGGCCCGGTGTTCTGAGAGCCAGATGAGGTTGCAGGTGTGGGGGATGAACTGAGTGATGCTGAAGCAGCCTTGGGGTGGCTCCAGGCCCCGAAGCAGGAAGTCCTACTTATAAAAGCTCCCACAGTCCCACGGATCAGAACCCCTGAACATGGAATCCCAGGGTTGCTGGGGACCAGATGACAGACCAAAGCAGGAAACCTAAAATGAGTCTTCATTGCACTAAGGGGCTGTTCTGTGCAACGGCTCTGTCCGCTGCCCAGAGCAGGAACGGGGAAGGGAGAGCCCAGAGATGGGGAGTCTGGGGGACAGCCCCTGCCCATCCCTGGTCCTGGTCATTCCACTGCTGCTTCTAGAGCTCATGCCCAGCAGTTCAAGGGACCTTTGCCCCTGAGGGGTCAAGGGTGTGTCCACCCTGATCCCCAGCCAGGTCCTGATGGGCGCCCGAAGGTGGCTGACTCAGGGATGCACCTATCAGGACCAGGGTGGGTGCTGTCCCGTGGAGGGCTGTGGCGCCTGGGCGGGGAGGTGCCCCCTTGCAGGAGGAGGCACGGGCGTAGGTCTGGGGTGGTGCCCCTCCAGATGCGCGCCGCCCACCCTGATTCAGAGCCGAGCCGGAGGCGGCGGCGAACTCTCCCCGGCGTCCCCGTGGCGTCACCGCATCCCGGGCCAATCCGCTGTGACGTGGCGGTCGAGGACGGGAGCCGGGGCTGCGTGGGCGCCCACACCCACCAGCGCGCGGCCCCCGTCCGCGGCATGAACGCGCCCGAGCCCCCGCCCGCGGCGCCCGCCGAGCCCCTCGCTCCCCCCGAGCCCCCCGGGGCCCTGCGCGCGCTGCTCGTGGCCACCGGCGGCGTGGGGGGCTCCTGGCCGCGCTGCGTCCTGCCCTTCGGCGCCGTGACCCTGCTGGCCGGCGCCGCCGCCACGGCCATCACCTTCTCGCTGTGCGGCCCCCACCTGGACCTGGAGCAGGGCGTGGCGCTGGCCACGCTGGGCGCGGGCCTCGGGTTACTGGCCGCCGCCCTCCTGTGCTGGGGCGCTCGGCGGCGGGCGGGGCGCGCGGGGCGGCGGGAGCCGGGGGCGGCCTGAGCCCCGCGGCGCCCCGGAGCCGGCGCCCCCTCCGGACCTTGCCCCCGGCCGGGCGCGCCCCGCACCGCGCGGGACGCCGACGCCCCTCTCCGCACCGCCCCTTCCTCGTTCCGGGGAGGCCGGGGTGGGGGCGGCGAGCCATTGCCCCCTGCTCCTCGGCCTCGCCCCTCCGCACTCCGCCTGCGGCGTTGCAGCGTTCCGCTCGGCGCAGAGCGGGTCCACCCCGGCCCACTCCAGAGAGGGCCTGCGCGGCTCAGGGGCCTGCGGGGTGCAGGATGCCAAGAACTCGGTGAGACCACCCTCGCCGGGGTGAGGCGTAGCGGGCCGTGCTCCCCTCCCCCAGCAGTCTGTGCTCCCTGCTGGGACGGAAGCCCCTCTCGGCGGAAGAGACGCTCAATAAATGTTCGTGTGAAATGTGTACGAGTGGTGGCTTGCAAATGTCTGGAGGGAACAGTGGGTCCTGGGCTAGGCCAGGAGGTTTGATCGGTTGGCCTTTTAAGGGAAAGACCCCCCGGCCGCCTGAGGCTTGGGACTGTCTGGCCCCCTGGGTCCCTTCTCCCCACCCCACCCCCACATTGGCTTCCTACATGCCCCAGAGCCAGCAGCTGTCACTCTGGGGATGGGGGTGGGGGTGGGGTGGGGGGGATGGCTGTGGCCAGAGAAGGTGCATGTGGGGGCAGGGAGGTGGAGTCTCCTCTAAGGTGCCAGGAAGGGGCAGGACCAGCAGAGAGGTGTGAGAGGCCCCAGAGGCTGGGGACTAGTGGCACAGTCCACAGGAGCAATGAGCCCGGACTGCGGGCTGGGGAGAAGTCCCTCCCCACCTCTCTCGGGCCATCTGCCAGGGCCATCCTAGGGGCCAGAAGAAACTGCGTGCAGAGGCCATTCTGGAGAAGAGGCAGGGCTGCTTGCAGCCTCCTCCCTGGGGAGCCCATGAAACTACCGCCCTCTGGGCCTGGAGCGCTCTGCTTGCCAACACTGACAACGACAACGACAACCATGATGATGATGAGAGGAATACGACCACAGATGAACACTCACAGCATGCTGAGCCCTGGGGGCCTCCTTCCACCCACACCAGAAACCACCAGATGTTCTGCAGATCTTAGCAAGCACTCCTGGGGAGGGAGACAAAACCTGCAAGTCTGATGCAGGATTGGAGGGGAGGCTGCTCCCCAATTTCCTTTCTTCCCTCCCGACAGGAGTTTGAAATCCCGACAGCTAGGGGCTCCCTGGAGGCTTTGGCTCAGGCTCTTCGGAACTCTTGTGTTGGGCCTGGGCACCTTTCCCCATGGCCAGCTAGTCGGCCCCAGGAGGATCAGTTGCAGCCAGGGCTGTGCTCATCCAAGGCTGGTTGTGAGGCTGATGACCAGAAAGACCTAGAAGAAGGTGCCAGTCCAAGCTTGATTTGTTCTGGAGCAGAATTTTCTCCCTGTCAGTTCTCTCAGTCGTGCACAGCTATCGTTGTAACAGGCACATTTTTTTTTATCTCCAAGTTGAGATTAGGTGCCATGGCACCTGCTCTGTGGGGTGGAAGGGACTCACAGACTCCCTGCTGCTGCCAAAGGTCAAGGGCAAGAGGCCAGCAGCCCTTCTGGTTCAATTCTTCCCAAGTCTCCCATGATCTCATCCGCCTCTCTACCCCCAACCCCTACATCAGAAGGGGCATGACCAGAAGGGACTAGTCACTTCAGGTGCCCCATCACCCTGTCCTCACTGCTCCATCCTCTTCTCCTTTGCTTTCCCCTGGGAGGCTCCAGTGTCCTCCTGTCCCTCCTCTCTAGAACATCAAGAAGATTCTGCTTCTAACTTCTCGTGGGTCCTTGCAGCTGCAAGTGGCAGCTCTGCCTACAGACACACCCACATGGCACCTCCATCAGCTGCAGGGTCTAGCCTAGGGTCAGCCTCCCATCTGAAATTTCAGGCCTCAGAACTTCTTCTAGGTCAGACGTGTTCCCCTGTCCCCTGCCCCCTCTGCATCCAGCTGACCTTTCCTAGCATGCTTGGCCCCCTCCATCAAGGACCTAACAGTTGTGGGAAAGTGGTCTCTCCGGAGCAGTTCTGATCTCTCTTGGATGGGTCACTCTCAGCTGCAGCTGCCCCATCCCCACCTGGTGCCCAGACTGCCCAGCTGGGTTCCTGCCTCAGTTTCCATACCCAAACTTGCTGGTATGTGGACCAGGTTCAGGAGTTCTGACACTGAGCCCTCTGTGACCAGGTCCTCCTCATGGGCCAAACTCCACTCTCTACCCTCTTCTGGGGTCCTCGACTGCTGACCAAGACCCTGAACTCCACGAGGCCCTGTTAATTAGTGGGTTCCCCACTCTCCCACCCCGGCTTCCACTTCCTCCCTGCCAACTCTGGGAGCTGGGCCCATCTTGGTGATGCAACTATAGATAGAGACCCAGAGATGCTTTGGGACAAGGGTTTAGCCGGATCTGGGTGGGATATGCCAATTTCATTTCTTAGGTGAACTCCAGTCAGAAGGGGAGGATGCATCCATCCAGAACATCAGGCACTCCAGCCTGTTGAGCCTTTGGCTGCATCCAATACCTTTGCGGCTCATCAACCCCCCCCCCCCCCCCAGTGGCTAAGCAAAGCTGAATAACAGCCCGATGAAAAAAATAAATCTCAGGTTAAGGAGCCTGAACCACAGAGCCAGAAATTGGAGCAGCTTGGATTCAAAATCAGACCTGGTCCCAACCACAGGTTTTTTTCCTACTAGAGCAGACCACTGCTTTGGGGACATCCCATAACCACCAGCCCTGCTTGGTTGCTACAGCTTGTGAGTGCTCCCTGTAGGGACCCAGGGGAGCATCAGGGCACCAGCCTTCAGATGCAGGGCCCAGGCTGCCAGATGGGCCTCAGGGAGGAGGCCAAGGACCCCTGCCCAGCACGTGGCACAGCCCCAGGAGCAGTCAGGGCCTGGATGCAGGCCGGGGACCCTGCTGGGTGGTCCCCCGCGGGCTGCGTGGCTGAGCCGCCCCCTCCAGACCCCTCCCGCCAGCGCATTCCTGGCTCCCCGGCCCCTCCCCCGCCTCCCGGGCCTCCCAGCCCCCTCCCCCGCTGGCCCAGCCAGTGTCTGAATCTGCTTCTGATTCCGGCTCTGCCGACGAGGCCCCCTCCCTCCCCTCCCTCCTTCGCGGCCCGAGCAGCCCCGCCCCTGGCTGGGCCCAGGCTTGCGCCTATTGCGCCCCCCACCCCCTCCTGGCACGGCTTGCCGCCCTCGCTGCAGCCGGGAGGAGGCGGTGGCCGGGGCGCCCCAGGCCCCGCCCGCACTCGGCCCTTCCCGGGAGGCCGGGAGACCTGCTCGACCCGGCCCTCGGTGGGTGAGTGCAGCGGCGGGCGACGGGTGGGGCCTCCGCTGGCGGAGGCGCCGGGAGCGGGGGCTACTCCTGTCATCGCTCCAGGCCCAGCGGGAGGACGCGCCGGCATCCCCGCCGTGGCGCTCGGCCCGGGGCGTGCCCGCGGCTGCTCCCACCTCTGGGCCCGGGCTGGGGCCGCGGGGATAGCCAGCGTTGCGGGCCAGCGGGCAGAGCCCCGGATCCGGGCCCTGTCTCCCCGAGGGCAGCGGCGTGGGGCCCAGCGGGCTGGCGGGTCCTCCGCGGCTCCGGCCATGCCCGGCTGGCCCTGGCGGCTGCTGCTGACGGCGGGCACGCTCTCGGCCGCGCTGAGCCTGGGGCCGCCGGCGCCCGCCGACCCCTGCCATGATGACGGGGGCGCGCCCCGCGGCTGCGTGCCGGGTCTGGTGAACGCCGCCTTGGGCCGGGAGGTCCTGGCGTCCAGCACGTGCGGGTGGCCGGCCACGCGGGCCTGTGATGCCTCCGACCCGAGGCGAGCACACCCCGCTGCCCTCCTGACCTCCGCGGGGAGCACCACAAACCCTGTGTGCTGGCGATCGGGGGCACTGATGCAGGTGCCCCACAACGTGACCCTCACAGTGCCCCTGGGCAAGGCTTTCGAGCTGGTGTTTGTGAGCTTGCGCTTCTGCTCCGCACCCCCTGCCTCGGTGGCACTGCTCAAGTCACAGGACCATGGGCGCAGCTGGGCCCCGCTGGGCTTCTTCTCCTCCCACTGCGGCCTGGACTATGGCCGCCCGCCCGCCCCAGCGGATGGCCCAGCTGGCCCAGGGCCTGAAGCTCTGTGCTTCCCTGAGCCCCAGGTCCAGCCCGATGGTGGTGGCCTTCTGGCCTTCAGCGTGCAGGACGGAAGCCCGCCAGGCCTGGATCTGGACAGCAGCCCAGTGCTCCAAGACTGGGTGACGGCCACGGACATTCGAGTAGTACTTACGAGGCCTGCCGTGCTGGGAGACAGCAAGGACTCCATGGCCACAGGCCCTTACTCTTACTCAGCTACTGAGCTCCAGGTGGGCGGGCGCTGCAAGTGCAATGGGCATGCCTCAAGGTGCCTGCTGGACACCCAGGGCCACCTCATCTGCGACTGCCAGCATGGCACGGAGGGTCCCGACTGCGGCCGCTGCAAGCCCTTCTACTGCGACAGGCCATGGCAGCGGGCCACGGCCCGGGAAGCCCACGCCTGCCTTGGTGAGGCCTTGGAGGGAGGCCTGGGGATCTTGGACCAGGCCAGCCTGCCCCTGACCCATCCCTTCCTGCAGCTTGCTCCTGCAATGACCATGCCCGCCGCTGCCGCTTCAACATGGAGCTGTACCGACTGTCCGGCCGTCGCAGTGGCGGCGTCTGTCTCAACTGCCGGCACAATACCGCTGGCCGCCACTGCCACTACTGCCGGGAGGGCTTCTATCGAGACCCAGGCCGTGCCCTGAGTGACCGCCGTGCTTGCAGGGGTGAGCCTGCCACGAGCTACCTGCACAAACTCCTCCCGTGGATTCCCGCATCCCCAGATGGGCTCTAACCATCCTATCTCTGTCTTCAGCCTGTGACTGTCACCCTGTTGGTGCTGCTGGCAAAACCTGCAACCAGACCACAGGCCAGTGTCCCTGCAAGGATGGCGTCACTGGTCTTACCTGCAATCGCTGTGCCCCTGGCTTCCAGCAGAGCCGTTCTCCGGTGGCCCCCTGCGTTAGTGAGTGACCCTGCCCTCTTTAGGCCACCTCAGCCGAGGCCACACCTGCTCCCTGATGCTCCCTGCTTGTCTCCTGAGCCCTGCAAATTCTCCCCCTCAAACGCAGGCCACTCTCTCACCCTGCCCGCAGAGACTCCTGTCCCTGGACCCACTGAGGAGAGCAGCCCCGTGGAGCCCCAGGGTGAGTGGACACACAACAGGGTCCTAGATCTGACATGACTGTGGGGGAAGGCTATGGGTTCAAGGAGGGGAGGAGGAGGAGAGGGTGGGGGGAGGAGGTGGGGATCCGTGCCAGCCTCACACCCCCTCCAGACTGCGACTCCCACTGCAAACCAGCCCGCGGCAGTTACCGCATCAGCTTGAAGAAGTTCTGCAGGAAGGACTACGGTAGGCCTCCCGCCCTCGCCCTCTCACCTCGCCCCTCCCTCCCTGGGCCTCCCGCCGCCGCTGCCCCCCCCCCGCCCCCGTCAGCCCGGGTGGCCTCTCCGTGACCACCCCGGCCCAGCGTTGAGTGTCCCGTCGGTGCCCCCTCCCCACGCCGCGGGCGCGCGGGGCTCCTCCGCGCGGCCCGCCCCCCCCGGCCCCGCCCCGCCTGACCCCGCCCCCTCTGGCCCTCCTCCCCGCAGCGGTGCAGGTGGCGGTGGGCGCGCGCGGCGAGGCGCGCGGCTCGTGGACGCGCTTCCCGGTGGCCGTGCTTGCAGTGTTCCGGAGCGGCGAGGAGCGCGCGAGGCGAGGGAGCAGCGCGCTGTGGGTGCCGGCGCGGGACGCGGCCTGCGGCTGCCCGCGCCTACTCCCGGGGCGCCGCTACCTGCTGCTGGGGGGCGGGCCGGGGACCGCGGTCGGGGGCCGGGGGCCCGGGCTCAGCGCCGCGCGCGGGAGTCTGGTGCTGCCCTGGCGCGACGCGTGGACGCGGCGCCTGCGGAGGCTGCAGCGGCGTGAGCGGCGGGGGCGCTGCGGGACGGCCTGAGCCCGAAGCGCGGGCGGGGCGCTGCTTCCACGCTGAGGCGCAGGTTCACCCAGTGCGTCCACCTGCGAAGGAGGCTCTGCTGGCGTCGCGCGCGTCGCCTCCGGGGCCCTCCCCGACCCTGCCCAGCGACTGCCCCGCTGCCTCGCGCCCGTACCTGAGAGGGGCGTGATGCACGCGGGACACCCCGCCCTGACACAGAGGGATGCGATGGCCCCGAAGAGCTGCCCGGGGCTCCTGGGACTCACTGTCATCCCGTTTTCGCATGATCTTCCCCCTCCGAGGGGCACTGCGATGGTCCCCGTGGGGCCGAACACCACTTGGAGGCTCTGCTGCACCCGAAGGGCCACGCCTGTGAGGTCGTGACCCCTCAGAGAGCGTTCGCACCTTCCTAAAAGGCACTGTGGCCCTCTCCCAACAGATATGAACCCCCTTGTGATTCCTGGACCCACCTAAGGTCTGAAAACACCCCAAGAGCCGCGGGGGCGTCAACCCTCACGGACTGCGATCTCCGGAGGGTGCTGTCACCGTGGACCCCCGCCGGGTCCCCCAGAGGGCGCTGTGGCTCGTCCCCGGCGCAGAGAGCAGCCGCGTCCCCGTCTGTCCCCCTGTCCCCGCTGCCCGCCCTGACTGCCGCCTGGGCGTCCGAGTCCCCGTCCCCGCTGCGTCTCTGCCTGTGCTCGGCCTCTGTCTCGGCCTGCTGTGGCCCTGCCTGGTCTCCGTCCGGCTGCCGCTGTCGGCCTCGGCCTCCAGGGCAACTCCGCTCGGAACCCGCCCGGAGCAGCCCCTCGCGCCCCGTCTCCGCCCGCTCGGGACCGTACGTCGTGTCCACGCGGGCGCGCGTTCCTAGGTCCACGCGTGACCCGGCGGAGGGGGGGCGACTCTGGCTGGCAGCCCCCGCGGCTCCGGAGGCATCCCCCGCCCGCTCGGCGCGCGCCCCTCCGCGCAGGGACCGACTCCGGCGGACGCAAGCTCCCGCGGCCCCGCGGCGGGGCGCCAGCGCGCATGCTCAGAGCCCGCCGCGGCCGGGACCCGCGGGCGCCGGGGTGGGCGGCCGGCGGCGCGTGCTCGGCGGGGGCGGGGCCGCGCGCGCGCTTGCGCAGACGGGCCCGCGCTCGGTCGCACGGCGAGCTGAGGGAGCGGCGCGGCAGGCGGAGGTGGGTGCGCGGCGGGCGCGGCGGGCGCGGCGGGCGCGGCGCGGCGGGCGGGGGCGTGACGGCCGGGCGCGGGGCCGGGTCGCCGGCTGTCCCCGCGGCGGGCGCGCGCGGAGGGAGGGGACGCGGGGGCGCAGGGGTCGGCGCGGGGTCGGCGCGGGGGTCCGGAGCCCGTCCGCCCTCCGGCCCCCCGCCCCCCCCGGGACCGGGACCGAGCGCCGGGCGGGGCGAGCCCGCGGCGGGAGCCCACCCGGGACAGGGCCGGCACCCCGAGCGGCGGCGAGCGGCGGCTGGCCCCGGGCCAAGCGACGGAAGGAGCTGCTCCCGTGTCACTGCTCTCGGGGCACTTTCCGGCTCTGCGGGGTAGGAAATCCTCTTCTGGGCTCGAAATTGCAGCCACTTCTCTGATAACGTCCTGCGCTTGACGACCCGCCACCGCGTCCCTCCCGGGGTGACACGGCCGCCCCCCGCCGCCCCGGTGCCTGTGACCAGCCTCGGAGCGCCCGGCGTGTGCTGAGCCCGTGTGCTGAGCTGGGGCAGCCGTCCTCCAGGCCCCGCCGGCAGCAGGAAGCATTTCCGCAGGGCCCCGGGCCCTCTCCGTGCTTTCCCAGCCTTGAGCAAGCACAGCTGGAGGTCGGGGACGGGCTGCGCCAGGTCCTGGTTTTCCTTCGCGGGGGGTGCTGGGGGCCCGGCCCCATGTTTTCATTGATGACCTCACTCAGCACAGGAGCAGGCACTGTGGGTCTCCTGGATCACCACCCATGGGGCTGGCATTAAAGGGCAGAGGTTGCCTGAGAGCCCCCTGGGCTATAGGGGGGCACAGGGAGGCTGTGAGGATAGCGGTGGGCCAAGTGACCAGCATGGTCGAGATGCTGGTGTTCCAGTATTTCCCCAGGTTCCTATCCCTGGTCAGGTGTCTGTCTGCCTTTCAGGGCCAATAGGGGCACTCGAAGGTGGTGTTCATCGTGTGTGTTTGCTCAGGAGCGAGCGGGGGACTTCCAGGCGATTGAAAAACAAACAAACAAAAAAACCCCAAACCCATTATTGCACAGATGTAGCTGTTTCCTCCACTTGAAGGCGAGGGGTCCATCTTCACTGTCTATCCCTGGCACATAGCAGACACCTGTAAGTGTTTGCTTAATTGTTCTGGAGACAAGGATGCAGGTTTTGGTCATTGAAAGGGATACAGGCAGCAAGAAACAAACCCAGATAAAAAACGATTAAGAAATCTCACGAAGGTTTTGCAGTTATTCCTGGCCAGTCCTGTAACCTCCACATGCAATTGCTTTTGTTCTGAGGGTTGGTCCTCAACTAATCTCAGCCGTCAGATAAAGCCTTTATGTGAAGTACTTATCGGGTAGCATGTGCTCTGTTTAGAAGCTTGTCTGCCTGGGAGCAGGGAGAGAGGCACGTCCCGTCCATCTTTGCTCCCCTCTGCCTGGCCTGGAGTAGCCAAGGGGTGCTGTCTCAATGACCGCTGGAATGAACCAAAGTGCTCAAGCTAGTGCAGTGGTTTTCATGTGGGTGAAGGGTGACTTTCGGGGAACGTAGGCGTCATCTGCGCAGGCTTTTCATAACAGTAATAAAATTCACCTCCCGAGTCTGCAAGTTCACCTGCAGGTGGGCCTCACCGCACCTGCCAGGACTGTCCAGCAGGCCCAGTGACCTTGGGCACACGGTGTTGCTTCTAATTCTAGTTACAGACTGAGCCAACCTCAGAAGACGTATTTAAGTGTCCGCTTTTTTTTTTATTATTATTTATGATAGTCACAGAGAGAGAGAGAGAGAGAGAGGCAGAGACACAGGCAGAGGGAGAAGCAGGCTCCATGCACCGGGAGCCTGACGTGGGATTCGATCCCGGGTCTCCAGGATCGCGCCCTGGGCCAAAGGCAGGCGCCAAACCCCTGCGCCACCCAGGGATCCCCTAAGTGTCCGCTTTTAGTTGGTTTCAGATTTAAAGTATATAAGAACAATGAGGCAGGTTATAAAAAAGCACTTAACGTTTACCCTGTTCAATGTTTTACCTGTTGAAGCATACCTTTCCTGTTATGACAACTCTGCTCATGGAAGAAAGAAGCCCTTTTCAATGCAAGGCAGAAATTTCAGTGGCTGTTTCAAGTGTCCCTTTCCAAGTGGAGATAATATCAAAGTAATATCAAAGGGAAAAAAAACAACCTCAGGCATTTTATTAAGAATACACTTAAATTCTTTATTCAGTGACTTTCATTATGCTTTCAACACAAGTTTATCAAAATCCTGCTTGATTTCACACACGGAGGCCCAGCACAGGTGTCATGTGGCTGCAGAGCTGCAGGAGCCTCTGCCCTTAGCTCACAGTGCGCTGTGGCACCGCCTGCCTTGAGAGGTGGACAGTTTGCTGCAGGAAGCAAGCAGGAACCTTCTGCGGGCCTTCGGTAAGGACTCCTGAGAAGGGCTTGAGCTAAATTTTGAAGAAGGAATAGATGTGGCAAGACCACGTGAGAGAAAGAGCCTTCTGGGCAGAGGGACCTTGCCTGTGCGTGCAAAGGAAGGAAGGCACGGCTACCCCGCACGATGCCGTTGCAGGAAGCACCTTGGGAAACTCTGGCGGTCAGCAGGAGCGAGGCTGGTGGCAGGTGGGGAAGGAGGCTTGAGTTCCAGGCCCAGGTTTGAATTTTACCCTGAGAGCCCTGGGAAGCCCCTGACAGATCTCAGCTTTGTGGGTACTGACCAGATCACCCAGACCATGGGTGACTGGGCAGCGGTAGGCACGTTGAGGGGTGAAGGCCTGAACCAAGTTGGAACTGTCAAGGGGCCACTGAAGTCTACCTAGTGAGATGTAGGCCCAGCACAGAAAAAGGTGCTGGGGGTATGTGCAAGTTGTAGCAGGACCCTGAGACAAGTGGCTGCCAGGAGGGGAAGGGGCGGGGAGAAAGGCATGGGGAACACTCCAAGATTGGGTGACAGCAGTTGGCAGTGCCATGTCACACACACAGGGTGCCGGAAAGAAGCTGCCTTGGGGGCAGGTGATGACTTTCTGTTGGAGATGCTGAGCTGAGGGTCGGTAAGGTTTCCTGATGGTAGGCGGATGTATGTTGGTCTAGAGCCAGGGAAAACATCCTGGCTCAAGAGCGTTTGGGGGACTCCTTCCTGTGGTGCTGAAGCCACAGGGACGGGTGGGCCTCCCCAGAGGAGTGTACGGAGCCAGCAAGAGAAACCTGGAGGCCCCTGATGTTTTATGTCCATACAACAGAGGGTGGGTGAGGTAGTGGATGTCTGATTAATAAGCCCTTGCCTTTGGGGTTGGGGGGCAGGATGGTGGGCTTTTTATCTCTGTCATAGGGCCCCTGTTGGTTAAACAGCAAAATGTAAGATACTAAAGGTGCAAAATCAGGTGATTCCAGGGCCCCTCCTGTCTCATAGGTCTGTGTGCCTTTTAGGAAACTTCCAGATTGTCGATCATCTCAAAGGACCCTGTTTCCCTCTAGGCTGAGGGTTGGTCCTCTCAGAGCATTCTTACAGTTAGATCTCTGAAAAAAAGTGTTTTTCAGACCCAGAGATTGATTCAAAGTCTTGGAATTCTCAAGCTCCCCTTGCTCTACCTCTAGGACCCCAGTTTCTGTGTGGTACATCAACATCCACAGCAAGCAGGACCTTGGGAGGACTCTTGATGCAGAGCCGAATGTGTGGTGCTCTCTCCTGTTGTCTTCTCACACCCGGGGGCAGAGCAGGGAGAGGATGAGGAAGGGCCCGTGTTGCAAAAGGAGCTCCTATCTGCCCTCAGGCACCAGGCCCCACAGGGCTGGTGCGGCCTTCGGATAAGTGCACCATGGACTGTTAGAAGTTATCTTTGTCTCTGATGGAACATGCTCCTCACTTAGGGCACCTGAAACAAGATCTCGTTCTGTCTTGTGGTGATTGTGTCCCCTTGCCTGGGTTGCATGACCTTATCTGCCTGCCCCACGTATTGCACAAGGACCTGCTGGCAAGGGTCACGTGTGAGCAGTCATGGTTTCTCCCTCCAGCCTACCCAAGCTTGCTCTCTCCTTTTATAGGTGGTTGAGAACACAGTCTACATGGCTTGGCTTATTTCCCATTATCTGAAACTGTGTCTGCCTAATTGTTACACAGTTTTAATTGGGTATGCACACAGTGAGGGTTGCTTACCTATGGGCGATTCTGTTACCAATAAACGCCTTGCTGTGTAGTATTCTAAATGTAGCTCCTTATCTGCTCCCACCAAAGCTTCCCTCCACGTGCTGTCCCCTCAGCATTTCCTTGTATCATTTTCCCCGGGTTCTCTAATGATCTTCAGTAATTCCTTTTCCAGCAAGGATTGTTCTAGCCTCCCCACCTTGGTAGAACTACTGGCCTTAGAAAGATCCAGGTATATGCATTAATTACTCCTGCCTCGAGCATCTTTCGCTGCCCTTTGGGGCTGTCCCTCCTCACCGCCGAGCACACGGGAGTGAATGCCCCGCCTCAGTGTTAGGCCCTTTGGCTTTTTGGGGGCTGTGCCGGCTGGACCATGGTACTGTTTTGTCTTCTGCACCATGAATGATAATCACTGGCCTGCCCTCTTAAAGACTGCAGGGCTTGCCGGCCCCTGAGCGGCTGTGTCTACTAAGGCCCTGTTCTGTGCCATGCTGTCACTTCTGCCTCCTGGGCCAGGGCCTCCTCGTACCCTGGGACCCAGCTGGGGCCCCTGACACCCTGTGATTTCCTGTCTTCACACCTGCACCTGGGTTGGCGTGGTCAGTCCATTCATGTGCCCACAGGCAGCCAAAGCGCGTTGACAGCTTGTGTCTATTTTCCAGCACTTGGTATGCTGGTGCCAAGGAAGTGTTTCGAATGCCTATTAAAATGATTATACCTGCAAGACTCCCTCTTGCCCCAGTTTTGTTGTCAGGTCTAAAAATACTTGTTGAGAACCTCCTCTGTGCCCAGCCTTCTGTGGCACACCCGTCACAGGCACCTTGCTTGGAATTCAGACTGGTCAGAATTCTGATGGTGCTAACAGGCGA